GCGGGGGCCCACGTGTGCCCGTGGGGCCACATCGCCGCCTTCCCACTGGCAGTGTCGCCAGGCGCACGCACCCCAGAGGCCGGCCTGGCTTCCGGCACCCCCCAGGGACGCCCGACACGGAACACGTGGACAACTGTGCTCTCAGGCCCCGCGGAGGACGGTTCCGCCTGGGCCACAGACAGCGCCCGGGAGGCGCTGATGGTCGCTGGCGGCTGGTCTGGGCGCAGCCACGGCCGGGCCCGCGCGAGGCTCCCTCGCTCTAGGGGGTCTCCTGGACTTAAATGTGGTTTTGGGGACAGCGTGGTATTTTAAGTGCACAGACTGTAATTTTCCTGACAAGCCCCTGCCGTCAGCGGCTGCTCCGCTGTTCCCACGACCCCCTGGCACGGTTCGCCCGTATCTGCGAGGAGTCACGAGAGCTGTCCGGAGCAGACTGCTGAGGGGAAAGGGCACGACTAAGGTCTTAACATCACCACACTGCTGCCCAAGAGGACTTTAATGCCCTGTATATTTACTTACTGGCTGAGTATGAGAACACTTCTTCCAAGACACCCTCACCAACTGCAGGTGTTACACTTCTAATCTTCCCTAATCAGAGAGGGAAAGTATTTCACCGGCCTTCGTTTACAACTCTTTATTTACTAAAGACTTATTTATTCACACAGAACTGGGGTACAGGCCAGAAGAGGTGCAGGGGGTGAGAGGACTCCCCAGAGACAGAGCGGAGAGCAGAGCAGGCAGATCCACCAAGTTCACTGCTGAGGGGAGCAGCAGGGAGAGGGGAGCAGTCTGCCGCACCCTGGGGTCACCTCCGCAGCGGGGATGTTAGTCTGCAGGCAGCTTGCAGCGCTGCGTCCTAGCCGCTGCGCCAGCAGGGAGGGCCCTCCGACTCTTTACTAATATACCTGTGTCCCCACACTTAATATACCTGTGTCCCCACACTTATTAATTCACATGAATTTTGTTTTCTGTGGCTCGACTATTTTCTGGCCTGCCCCTGGGTTCTTAGTAAGTTTTTTCATTATCAATTTATAAATTTAGGGGTTATATGGATTAACCTTTCCTCATGTTGCTGTACACACCCTCCCTTTTAACATGCCTTTTTTTTTTTTTTTGATAGAAGTTTTAAATTCCCATAACACCCAAATACTTCTGTGACTCACTTTTAGTACAGGAATGTTCTCTAAATCTGTTGTTTTTTTTTTTTACATTTCCTAAGATTTTTATACAGACGAAACTGTGTTTGAAACCCACCTGGGTGTCTGCTGGACACCAGCACGCACCTCGCCTTCTTCCTGAGGAGGCAGCTGCCCAGCGCGGCCCACCCCGCCGGCATGGACTGCCCGCGACGGCCACAGCGTGGCCAGCTGCCCCCATGCCGCCATGAGCTCCCGCCAGGCCACGCTGCTTTCGTCACTCCAGAGCCGTAGCATTTTGGTTGCCCGTCATCACCACCCCACATTACTCTTTTGAAAGAATTATTTCACATGCTCTTATCCTTCTGGATGAAATTTATGATCACTTTGTTAGGCTCCAACATGCTTTTTTCACTAGAATGGCTTTAAGACTACAAATTAATTCAACTTAAAGTTGTAAGATTTAATTTTCCTATTTCCATTTTTATGCTTTCGGGAGACCATCGTCTTCCTACGGAGGTCACGCTCACCCCGGCGTCTGCATCGACTCCAGCAGACCATCCGGGGCCTCTGTGTATACAGGTCGTTTCCTGTTGCTGTAGGCAGAGCTCTGCCGTCCCCATCCGTAGCCCCTCCCAAGACTTCAGAACCCGGGGCGCCTTCCCCCAGTTATGCAGTTAGTACGAATCTAGTGCTTGTGAAAGAATTTTGCAAACAATGTCCCTCCTCAGTTGACCCTAAGACAGGAGGACCGCCCAGGCGGGCCTGCCCTAGTCAGTGGCACCTGCTAACTCTGGGTTTAGCGGTCAGTCAGAAGCTCCGAGCATGGCACGCTTTCAATGCACGATGCTGGTGAGGGGGTGGAGGTGCGGGGCAAGCACATCGCTTGCTTGATGGTGGCTCCGCGGGAGAACGGCCACGTTTTGCACACTAGGTTTTCATCACTCTGCTACTGCTGATGGAAAGACGCGCTGCAGAGAATCCCATGCCAGAGTCCTCCCTGTCCCCACCGGGCAGCACGGCCCCCACTTCCCTCGGCGGTCAGGAGTGAGCACCCCAGTGGCGGCTCGCTCCGCCAGGAGCTCCAGGCGGGCAGCAGGCTCATATTCCAACTCCACAGACCGAGCCCGCGGCCTCTCTGGTAAAGCAGTCCCCACTCAGAAAACAGGAGCCCTAGACGCGGCAGAGCTGAGAGCCTGCAAGCGTGTTACGTACAGTAACAGCGAGAGAGGCTTCTTGGTTCCCACCCCGTGTGACATGGAAAGTGACTTGAAATTGACACTGTGTTAATTAACAAACATCCTGCTCTTCCTAGTTTGTGTGTAACAGAAGAAACTATGATGCTGAATCCACCTTTTTCTACTTTTGATTGTTCCTGCTTTTTGTATTTTGAAGCTGTATTATATGCAGATACATTTCCTCACTTTTTGTTAATTCACTATACACAAAGGATGCTTTAGCACAGACGTTGGCAAAACTTTTTCTGCCAAGGGCCAGATAGTAAATATTTTGAGACTTGTGGGCTAGGGTTGCAAGTGTGGCGTGAGGGCATGAAAGCTACCACCGACAGCAGTGACCCAGACAGGGCAGGCAGGCGTGTGGGCACAGGCTGGGTCTGTTGGCTTTTGTCTGTGGGCTCGGGGTGTGAGTCTGTCACCAAACACGACTGAGAAGGCCTCTCCACATAAACATCACGTCCCAGGCCCGCGGGGCTTTTACCCTACACAGTAAAGGGCAGCTGCGCTGTATCACCCCCTTCCTGTTTCTGTCCGGGTCTCCTTTACTGCACTTACTGCTTCTTACGGCTGATCTTACTCAGGCCTACCGCCTCCCCTTCCCATCCCGTCTCTCTTCCTCGCATCTCCACGCGTCAGTCTGGCTTCATTCCCATCTTCCCGAACAGCTCTCTGCTCATTGCGGACCTGTGGGCCTTAGTCTCACAATTCTTTCTCTGAAAGTGTGTATTACACTCAGTTTTGCTTGATAAAAATTTCTAGGTCGGCAGTTTTTTCCTCGCAACTCTGTGGACACTTACTTCCTTGCCTCTTGACTTCCACTGATTCTGTGGTGCCTTGAAAGGTAATGAGCCTTTTTTCTCCGTTGGCTAATTTTAAGACTCTGACTGTCGGCCACTTGCCTCTTCGGTGTTCACCCAGCTGAGGCCTCTCTACCTGGTGGCTTGACAGCCTCTGCCAGTGTTGTGAGACCCACAGGCACTCTTCTTTAAACACGGCCGACTTCTTTCTTCTCTTACTCCGCGCTCCAGCGCCAAGTATTTTGGACTGTAGTGTCCTGTCTGTCCCTTTCTAGTTTTCCTCACACGTCTCACGCTTCTGTTTCTGCTTCAGGGTGGACGTCGCCTTCTGACCTTGCCCTCGGCTCCTACCGTCCTTGCTGGCCAAGCCGCTGCAAAGCACTCCACCACTCCCTCTCCAAGCCCGCATTCCCTCTTTCGAGTCTTTCCACGGTTTCCAGGTTTCTGCAGAATTTCTCCACTGTCAATTCAGTTTTCAAGGTCAAACCCTTCAGGGTCATCTTAAAGCCCCGGTCCGCTGGCTGCTGGCTGGCTCTCCTGTGCTTGCCATAGTCTTTTCTCTGGGTTTTCAGCCTTCTCAGGCATCCGTTCTCGAGTGGATGTTACTGTTTCTGCAAAAACACCACCACGCGGCCAATTCCTTCCAGAGCGAGGTTCCGCCTCTGCTCCCCTAAGGCACTCAGGTGTCTGCTAGCCGGTGCCAGGCAGAGCCACCCCGCGAGGGGGCGGACCTTCAGGGCCGTTCACGCCCGCTCTCCTCCCACCATGACAGTTCTGGAGTGGGTTCTGGGGTGGGGGCCGAGGCCGCTTCCTCCGCATCCCTGATGCAGCTCTTGAGGCCTGGCTCACCGAGCCACCACCTGGCCTGAGCCCAGGGGCTGTTCGGCTTCTATGCCACAGCTTTCGAGCCAGCAAGGCCCCTGTGGGCTCACGTGACACCAAGCGTCTCCTCAGCCACCTCTCTCCTGGGAGGTTTCGGCCCCTCCAAGACCTCAAACCTGGCGGGTTTCAGTGTCATGACCGCAGGCTTGACGGCCCGCCCAGCGCTGGCCGCAGCTCCGAGCAGGCTCAGAGCGACACGGCCAGTCTGCTCTGGCTGGAAGTAGCAGACCCAAAGTGACCGGAATCCCACTCAGTAGCTCTCCGGCAACACGGAGGCGTCCAGCTTTGTTCACTGGTCCCCTGCTGTACTACCAATGAGGCACTCGGCGCTCCTCACTGGCCACGGCTCAAGGTGCTGCCACATTGCAACGTGCTTAGAAAGGTTTTAAATAAAAACTAATACCGATGTACCATGCTTTCTTGTAAAAGTCTCAGATTATAGGCATGTGACTGAATCTAAAGTTAGCTTTGTTGCCACCATTTTCGGTATCGTATTTTTGGTATCGTAATTACAGTAGCTTCGTAAATAAGCCGGCTCCTTTCCCCTCTTTAAGTTCTGAGATAATTTATACAGTGACTACTAGAAAGCACAAAGAATTAATTTGTTAACGCATCTGAAAGGAAAAATCTTTTCGGAGACTAACTCCTTCCTACTGAGCACTTCTTCCCGAGACCACCTAGGCTCCTGATATTCGAGAGGGCTGTGACTCCGAGAGTCGCTCAGTGCCGTCCTACCCAAGAGCGAGCACCCAGTCAGCCTGGCTCCCTCTACCTAGAGCTGCACGCTGCCTGAGGCCGGCCGGTGCTCCGTGGGGGCCAGGAGCTCAACGTCCCGGAGACTCGTGACCAAGGCGGCCGTGGGACCAGAGGGGCTGCCCCGCTCTCCTTCCTCATCGCAGATGCTCCGACTCGCTGAGTCGGCGCCCGCGGAGTCAGTGCTCTGACACGCGTGAGCCGGTAACTGTTGCGTCAGTCACGCAATATCCACCGAGGCCTGTGGCGGAGACGTCACCTTGTTTTACAAAAGGCAGAAAGAAGCAAGCACGATCCCGCTGTCACGGAGCTCTGTCACCTGACAGAAGTGTGTGCACGTGTCATTATCACAGGACGCAGAAAGCTGCACATGATGGCTCCGACCGGCGGCGGGCGCCGTCACGTGCTAACGCGGACGAGCTGTCGCGAGGGCCGCTGTTCTCGCTTGTTCATCCTTTAATTGGCTCCTGAAGAGCAGCACAAACCTGGCTCTGTGTGGCTTTATTTCTAGGAGCTAACCTCGCTGACTACAGCCTCACCACATGCCGAGGGTGAAATGCCACCGGGTTCTGACTGACAGCTTTTCTGGAGCCCTGTCTGGCGCTTCTCTGCGTGAAACCCAGGAAATTAAACTGACAATATGATGGTCACAAGAAAGACCTTAATCGTCCACAAAGACAGAGACCCCTTCTCTGTACCTCACCGTTTGCTCCTACAGCAAACTACCTCCCTGTGTTAGTTTTCAGGTCTACCCAGTCCCCTTCCTGCACGCCACAGCCCGGTGCAGGTGGACCCTGGGGCCGCGTCTGTCCAGGGCCGCAGAACCGCACTGCCCAGCCCTGCTGCGCTCCTGCGAGATCACAGATGTGTTCAGGAGTGGGCGGCAGCCTCGGCGCAGTGTGGCGGCTGGGAGGGGCAGACTTTCGGGGCTGACCATGGGAGACGGTGTCTGCCTCACAGGCAGGGCACTTGCCGGGCCAGGTGCCACCCTCACTCCTTTCAGATGGGCAGAGAGATCGAAAAATCAACCCAAAGTCACCCGGCCAGGAAGTGGCATCCCTAGCAACTGGGACAGGTCTAGAATGGACGATGCTCGCCACACTTACAGCGGGTCCTCCGAGGGGGGAGGAGGCCTCGGCCCACGGGCTCCACTTCGCAGGGGTGGACAATGGCAGGCCAGCATCGCCCGGACGGGACCGGTGGCGACGGGGCTGGTGCCGCTGCTGTGGATGGACTTCACCTACATGTAAACCGCACTTTCCCCAACAGGAAGGGCTTGCTGAGCTACTGCCGGACTCGTCCTCTGGGGCCGACAGATGCCTCTGGACTGCGACCGCGTGAGGCCTCGTGGCCATCCACTGCAAGGGAGGCGTCCCCACCCTGCTACCACCATTCCCCAGGGCACCCAGACCTACTAACTAGGCTTGTTTTTATTCTATTTTATCTATCTTGTTTTTTTTTGTGCATGTATTGATTTTTTTAACATCATTCTTCATTTTGTGCATTTTTCCATCTCAGCTGTAATCCCTGTGGGCTTCCTACCACCAACTCACCCATGTGCTATCACCACAGTCCCGTGCACTCTTCCCACCCCAGTTCCGATTCCATTCTCCCTCCCACCCTCCAA